AATTATCTGTACATCCAAAAAATTTCAACATATTTGTAAACGGGATGAGAATGATAAAAAGAAAAAAATGTATCGTGTCCTGGAGTACTGCAAATTTTTTTTTAGTCGGGCCATTTTAGTAAGTCGGTCGGGAGAGGGCAACTTAACAATTTTTCTAAAGATGGTCTAGTATTCTTTAAAGAAATTGAAAAAAAAATGTACTCTTTTTCCCCTTCACAGCCTTTAGAATCATGTTGTGGACTTTAGCATTGATGTCATTTCTACGTAAGGCATGACAAAGTGTTTAAAGGCTTTGAGACCCAGACAATGATAAGATAACCCTACAAGTAAATACTTTGTACTTACAATAGGTAAGTAGGTTATATAGACTAAAAGAATTTATAAAATAACTAAGTAATTGTTTTGTTTCAAATGAATGAACATCAAAATACGGTAATTTCTCTTTCTCTCTCTCTCTCTCTCTCTGCTAGTTTTAATTTGTAAGTCAATTAGAAGCAAATTTGAAACAAAGGCAGACTGAGATAGTTCGCTCCAAGATCTATTTTAACAGTTTCTTTCAGAATGATGATGATACAACTTTAGATAATTGTTATTTAATTTTTTTTCAGAAAAGTTTTTTAACAGTGAATTAGGGAAAATGAAAAGTTTTACGTCTTTGATTCAGGTGAGCCTTTCAAGCTTAACATTCGATAGAAATGGGGATATATTGTCCTATTTCTTTTAGTTTCAATAATATACTTCTCTTTTCTTCGTTCTTAAAATAAAGGGGTGAGGTGAAATAATAAAGATGTCATAAGACCTTCTTTCTAATCGTGGATTTCAATCTACTTGTCACAAAATACAATGTATATCGAAATTGGCTTTATTCATTCCGATACGTAATTTTACGTTAGGAAAAACTTTGATCCGCATATCATGATCAGTGAGTCATTAATTCTTTTACTTGTATGTATGTATACAGTGCATTCTCTATATACTACAGTGATGTACCGGTATGTGTTTTTGAGTGCTATTATGCTGTTGATCAAAGAAAAAAGACTTGGGCTGACTAAAGTGTGTCCGTCTTTTAGTGTAAATTTCACCTTGTTTACCATTCTGGTTTGGTCATTTTGTACCATGTACTAATAAAATGTTTAGTAAAAACCATCAAGACCATTAATTTAAAAAATCAGAAGTTTGTAAAAGCATGTTTAATCTGGTAGTAACATATTTATCTACACAAAGGTACATGTATTGTGATTTGTTGAACCTTGTCTTCTTTTTAACCTTTACCCAGAAATGTGTAAAATACATTAAAGCTTAATTATAAAGAGCCTTGCATATTTTACTCAATGTATTATGACTTTATCACATGTATATTTAAAACTTATTACATGTATATCAAAGTGACAAATCTAAAATGGGTTTGAAAATGTGCTTTAACTTATAAGAGCATTGGGGGGAGGGGGGTCACTGTCATTTTAATTATTTACACACAGAATTGATGACAGATTTTCCCCTTATTTTCTGATCCCCACATGGAGAACTTGGCAGATGTGACTGGTCGGCATGGGATGCTCAATCCCCCATTGCACCTAGTTCCACCTTTGATCCGTGTTTGCTCTGCTCCTATTTTGTATTGTTTTATGGACTTTTGAGCTTGAATACAGTTCGTTGCATGTATTTTCATATGTTTCATCTATGAAATTAAAACTAAATGGTGATGCAACATGTGAAAAATAAAAAAAAATGTGTTGATGTGAAAAAAAAATTAACGTTTATTTCACGATTTCCTTTTCAGATACCATTATTTGTACTTGTCGCCAGTTTTTGTATGGCAGAGGGCTTCCTTTTGCCTGGAGACGTGTGTCCATTCAACCAAAAATGCACGTGTACATTTAATCGCATAGACTGCAGTTATCGCTACCTGACCGAAGTGATGAACTTTACCTCTTACAATCAGCGCGCTGATTACGTTGGACTCAATCACAACTTTATAACGAGCATTCAGTCAAACTCTTTCTCCACCCTCTTTTCCGCGTCATCTAGACGCATTCTCATCCGGTTGGATTATAATAGAATTGACAGTGTGGATGTTGACGCGTTTGCGGGTATGCCTAGTAATGTTACTGTGGTTGTCTACTTGAACGACAACAATCTAAAAACGATACCGCCAGCTCTTGAGAAAATATCTGGATTGTCTTCTCTTTACGTTCAAAACAATCCCCTAACTAATATAGACGTACTGACAACCATCGGACCTGCTTTAAGTGTGTTGAGTTTAAGTTTGAAAAATTTCCAAACCTGGCCGACACAGTTCCAAAATTTGACACATATAGTTCATTTGACATTGGACGAAATTCCTTTCAAAAATCTAAGTAGTGATGCATTGAAAAATGTGGACAGTCTGACCTCGCTCACTATATCAAACTCAGAATTAGAACACGTGCCGGAGGCAATATGTGTACTGAAAGATATGCAGTTATTTTATTTTATTAAGAATAAGAAACTGAATCAGGACCGAAAACCATTGGTGCCGTGTCCAGGATACGTGCTGAATTACGTCTCATTTGTTGATATGAGCGAAAACGAGCTGAGTGCTTTCCCAAATGTATTCGATACGTTTCCTTCAGTAAAACGACTCCAGTTGATCGGTAATAAAATCCATTACATCGAAGCTGACGTCATTCCCCATCACCCAATGGTGGAGAGACTTTACCTGGACGGAAACCGAATGAAGCGAATTCCGGGAAAACTCACTCAGTTCTCGGCTTTAAAACAATTATTTTTATCAAACAATGACATTTCGACCGTCGAAGACTGTGATTTAGCAGGACTAAGGCAACTTGATCAATTGTATCTTAACAATAACCCGGTGGAGTATGTATCCAAGACTGCACTCGTTGACGCACATCTACTTCAACGCCTAGAACTAGGAAATACTAATTTGCGTAAAATACCGGAAGCACTTTCACCTCTCACAAAACTCTCGTATTTGAACCTAACCGGAAGTCCAATAGAATGTGACTGCTCCATGAAATTTCTTAGATCCGCCCTTCCACTGGATGTCCAGGGCACCTGTACTTCATCTTCTCAAACAATCAACGAATATATTGCCAGCTCTGCTGGGTCATGTCCATAATAACTGTCGGCATATGTTACAATGGTCAACATCAATCATTATGGTTTTGAATTTATCCAATTGTAAATTACGGAGTAATGAATTCACATTGTGCTGAAAACAATTCATTTACATTCAATGTTTTTATTTTTTATTTATTTTGAAGATTGTGTATTGGAATTATTTTAAACAGCATTTTCTTTTCTTCAATTCTTTGAAGTGTAAAATAAAAATCATAAGTCCTTGAAGATACGAGAGACTTCCTCGTTTTGACTCCTCATTCTTGTTTTTGACTGATTTTGAGTGATTGTCAAGAATTATTGATGCTAAAAAAACTGAAGCAAAATAATTCCATATGATAAATATACATGTAAGATATATCGTATAAGATTCATACAAAATATATCATTCAAAATGTTACAGTATGAAGGTGGATTGTGATGGATTATTGTTAATTTTGAGCATCTCAATGCACTTGGTAATTTATCATAAATTTAAAATAAAAAAGGAAGAAAAACAAATACAAAACATTGGTATAAACCGTAGCCATCGTTCTTCTATCCTTTCCGGTCACATATATTTGAAATATGTTTGGAAAGAATGCATATAATGAATGTGTCCGGCATCATTTGAATGTACTTGCTTTCAATTTGAATGCACTTTATATGGGACAGACTGTTATACGTAAAAAAGGTGACAAGATCTCTGAAGCGTGACGCCTTTTCCACAGGTGATGATGACAGACTACTGTTGATTTTAATCTGTTCTCTGCTCTACCGTGCGAGGTGACGACAGAACCAACATGTCGAAAATATTCTGTAGAAGGATTTCTATTATTTTCTTAGTCGGTAAGATTTCATATTATTGTTTGAAATTATTTTTTTAAAAGGACACATATTGCAAAGAATTTGTGCTTTTGTTGACAATTTGAATAGAAAAGTTAAAGATTTCTGTGTATTAATCAAGAATTATATAGTGTTAATAAATTTTAGGGCATGTCAAGTTCGCATCACCTACATGTTAAAAAAACGCACCAAATTTTGAAGTTGTCCGCTTAAATCTTCATATTTTTTATCTTTTTTTTCTAGGATTCAGGCTTGGATCCAGGAATTTTTTCCAAGGGGGAGGGAGGGGGGCTCAATCCTAGTCAAAGATTTTCGGACCAAAAAGTATCCTGACAAGCAAAAAAAAATATCCCCCAAACAAACAAACAAAACAAAGCAACGTAAATTTCTTCCCAAACTTAAAAAACCTATTTCGTGTGTGTGTGAGGGGGTGGGGGTGGAGGGTAGTCGTCTTTGATTTTTAAGCCTCAGACTTATGACTTTCCATACCCTTTTCACATAAATCTGCTTTTTCAGGGAAGGGTCCGTATTTTCGGGGGTGGGGGGAGGTCAGTTTAATTTGATTTAGTACAAACATTTATTGGGAGGTCAACATTACCGCTACATTGCCAAAAATTTCAACTCATTACCGCTACATTTATTAACCCTGCAAATTCCCCCCCCCCCTTGATCCGCACATGTAATATTTTATTCGCTATAATATTTTCTTATTCAAAATTCAATTTTCGGAAAACAAGATTTCTGTCATTTATACATTTTTGTATTACCTCATTTAGTGGGTCACAGGTAAGGTTTTGGAACACCTAATTGTGTGGTTACACTGTTAAATAGGATACATATACATATAGGAGTGTTTTTACTTCTTTGCTCAAAAAAAAGGAAAAATTAATAGGAAATTAAACAAAATAAAAAAAAATTGAGGCGTTTTTCCCTTAAATTGTTGAAATCCAATGGGCACTGCCGTGAACAAGTGTGCTTGAGAATCTTTACACAGCTGACAATTTGTAACCATTATCATCCTACATAATATTTTTAATGACTCGTGACCCTCTGTGTTTAGATAATTCTTTTCAAAAGAGGAAAGGTGCTAAATTTTAACAGACAGTTTAAAGATAATTTTTTTTTAAAAAGTTTTTTAATAAATATTTCATTTGAATCTAAAGTATTTGTGTGGTGCAGAGTTTGACATGAATATTTCAACTACAATGAGGTCATAATTTTTCTCCCAAATAACGCACTAAAATATCATATGATAAATTCATTGAAAAAATTGTGATTTTTTAAGAATTTTTTTGGTAGAAAAATGAGCATTAGGATATAGTCATAATCTTAAAAAAATCATCTCAACAATAGCAACAGAATCTTTTCTAAACTGTTACTGCTACTGTTACTGTTAATTATAAGAAATGATTTTTGAAAAAATCTTTCTTTACAGGGATAGCTTTGTTTTAATTGGTCATTACCATGTATAAAAAAGCTCTTGAAAACTATTTTGTTTAACACATTTTACTTTTTTTTCTTTTTTAGCAATAGTTATAAATCACGTGACTTCTCAGTTTACGAGTTCTCGTATTGGATCCTCTAGACGCGACTCTACGAGACCTGTATTCTCATTTGCCGGAAATTCCGAGACGGCTGACCAATCGAGACGAGAAATCACAGGCGAAACTTCATTTGGAGGAAGACAAACCTGGCGCGGAAATACTCAGAATATGAGAACTGGCTTTCCAGAGAACAACTGGAATAGAAACGAAAACACTGCAGACAGAAGGACTGTAAATTTTGTCAATGTGCAATCAAACCGTGGAGATCAGATAGACAGGACGCCTAGCAGATTTAGTGCCAACAACATAAAACGAGATGCAATGTCTGTTATTGAGTTGAACAACGAGCGCATACGTAGATTAGAAGCTGATAGAAGAAGAATAATTGAACAAAATATTCGAGAAAAATACCAAAAGAACGATTTCTTGAATACACGAGGTTTGATTTCCGGTGTACGTCTCCCAACGAGATCTCAAATCATGTCACGTGACTCAACACGATCCAATCAAAATCAAGCATTCATGTCACCCGACTCCCCATCTTCGAATCAAAATAGACAAACAGCGTTTGCTAGGCGGAATTCTCCTCGGCCTGTCGTAACACTCGATTCAAGTCCCCCGAGTGACCGAGACACGGCACGTTCTAGGATGTCAACTGACCGCCAGTCCGCACGTGATCAGCTGGAGAGAGTTTCCGTGCCGAGGTCAGAGGGAGCAAATAATTACCTCAAACAGCTACTGTACAGAATCCTAAATAGAGTGGACAAAAATTGATTTGTTTTAAACTTTACTCCGTGTTTATTTATATTTTAAGTTTTGTCCTGTGAAACCGTTGAAGAAATTTTAATGATACTTGTATATATGTACCTGCATGTATCTATGCTCAAACTTTTGTAAAATGAACAATGAATTATTATCAATGTCCTTAAATTGTTTCTTTATTTTTTTTAAGTTGGACGAAACCATTAACCATTGCATTAGAAACGTGGATAAAACATCAGAGTAAACAATCTGTTGTCACTATTACGTAAACATATACATGTCTAGCTGTTGATTGTATGATCATGAATGACTTCAGTTATTAGGTGCACTAATTAAACCGATTGACTACTTATACATGCACCTGTACTTTAAGAGTTCGGTTTGCATCAAATCGATTCGATTAAAAAAAAATAATTGGGAGTCATTCGTACTTGAAAATCAAAGGTAGGCCTACGCACTCGTCCACCCTAAACTGTCTCGAGCTCGCTCTCTAAATAATACATAAATCACCTTCTTCCTAGATACCTTGAAGAAAAACCAATATCTTTATTATTGGTTATATATCGAGTATTTTTATAAACATAAATAAAATCATATTTGTCATTGTTCTCCCTCTCTCATCTTTCTTATATAAAATATAAGGATAAAGAACTGTATGACATTTTAAAGCCCTTTTAACCAGTAAACACAGATCGGAAGCAGAGAAAACACAGACTTATAAAATGTTAGAGGTGGGATAACGTGCCATGGAGAAGTGATCATCTCCTGCGGATCGGTCACATCTGCCGTGTGCTCCTTTTCTTGATCAGGAAAAAATCCGAAGACAATTCAATTTCACAAGGTAATGTTATCGACAATAAAACTTAAGCAGTTGACAACCTTGTTTCATCAAATTGTTTATCAATCGCTTTTTTTTAATGGTTCATTCCTAGAGCATGCTCTTTAGTATCGCATTAATGCATTAATTCCATATGCAGGTGATAAGGGTATATTGCTTAATAATTATAAATGGTTGTTCTGTCGAAACATAACTTTAAAGAAAGATACACTATTTATTTCTTTGTTCATTACTTCGGATCTTTCCACTTGTACTTGCGAGAACTTTGCAAGTACCTGCGACTGTATGTTTGCAGACAATTCATTCTGAATTATTCCTCTATCAAAAACGATAATAATTACATGATCATAATAATAACCAAATTTGCAACACTGTTTTGCTTAAATAATTAATAATTATCTTGCAAAAAAGGACTTCTGTTTAAAAATAACCCTTGTGATCTACAGTAGGAATACTGAAAAATAAGATTATATGTTTATGTTTATATCATTATGTCAATTGCTATTTTAAATTTTATTTTCCTTCGATTTCCATTCACGTAGTATCCTTATCATTTGGGGTCCAAAATAAGTAACATTGTCCGTAGATGCCATTTGACTTAAAGGCACATATCCCCACGATTAGTAAACTGTATTTAAAACTGAGAGTAATCCTATGAACGGATTATAGAGCGTCCTTATCGCCGACATTAGCAGGTGCGAGCTACTTCATTCACGTCATCTTCAAAGGTCATGACCCAATAATAGGTACATTATCTACCGGAAGTAACGTAAGTATGTTATTTAGAACTTGTTAACTTTCTTTGCTCTTAATAAAAATTCAATTTTTCGAGAAAAAAAGATATCTGAAATCGATCTTCTTTTGTTTGACTGTTTGAATAGAAATCAAATGAAATTCTCGATTTGTAAATGATTCCACGAGAACTGCAATTTACTAACTAAAATTGTTGATGTATATGTTTTTTGGGCAGGGCAAAATAATGAAGGCAGCTTTCATTTTCACAATTTTCCTCCTTTTTCATAGCGAACTAAATGCTCAAGGTAAGTTTATAATGTTTAAAAGATAAAGTTAATCATAGTGTTTCAAAAATTAATAAAAGTTAATTTGAATGGTTGCTCTTTGGATAGATATATAATTCACGCGTAAAGTGCATGCAATTTTAACAATCTAAATTTTGCACTGTAACGCGTAATGAAAAATAATATATGCGTCTTGTCTTGTATGTGTTACAGTGCAACAGTACAAATAGTCATAATTTTATGCTTTCCTTTATCACGAGAAACATTGTATTAAATCGAAAAGGAACAAAGATAAAAATGGCAAAAGGAAACAAATGATAAAAATAACACTGCCTGTTTGTACAGAATTTTCCTGATAATAAATTCCTTTGGGGATTTTTTTTTTTTTTTGTTTTTGTTTTTTGTTTTTTTTGTTTTTTGTTTTTACAGCTCAGCTGTTTTTCCAGAAACTCAGGCAAGCATCTAATGGAAGCAGATGTAAATCAGAATCAATATCATGCTTACCCGCCCCGTGGTGTCATACCGTCACAGACGTAAATGGCTGTCATACTTGTGCATGCGATAGTAAGCTTTCATTATAGAAATTTATAGATATTTTTAAATTCAAACGAAGAGACGTTAGAGGATGAGGGGGATTTTTATCACTTTAAAAAGAAACATGGCGTAGCGTAATTTTTCTAAATTTAAAAAATAAACGGACACGTTTCTTGTTAATTTGCCCATTTGACCAGATTCATAATTATCCATACATTGAGAAAACTTTTATCCTCTTCATCGCGACTTAATATTATTATGCATATTAAAATAGTAATTGTTTAGATGAGACCGTAAAAGCCGAGGTCCTGTGTCGTAGTAGGTGCTGGCACGAAAAAGAGTCTTCATTGGTCAATGACCACTTTTGATCGCTTAAATCCGACTTTTAAAAACATTTTCTTGTGAGATCGTCTATTAATTTTTTTGTAAGCAATCTTAAGGCCTGTGGCCGTGAGAGTCGAGCATTGGTCAAAATTTGAAGCTCCTCTCCGACTCGGCAAGCGGTGGCGTCTCCATATGAGTGAAAAATTCACAAGAGGGAAAGTAAACAACAAATAAACAAATAAACAGATACAGAATTTTGAAATTCATTCACCTATATCATCACAATTCTTCGAGAACCTTCAGTACTCTCTTACTAGAACCAACTGCACCTTTAACAGACGGTTGTTTCCAGTTTTATCTAGAACGAGTCATTGGACAAAGTGCATATAACACAAATAAGTCTTATGGGATCGTCCTATTATCAAAAAAGTTCCAAATATAGAATTGAACCTTTATGCAAGATGACATAAGGATAGACAGTGAACGTTGTACGGGCTATTTTCAGATTTTGAACTTGTTTCTACTCTTTGACAAGTATATCTATATGCATTCCAAATGAACTGCATATTCAAGCATAAGCCTAATATGTGCTAAATTGCAACTTCATATTGCACATTCTTTATTGTTTAGTTACATTATTTAAACAGTTGGGTTTTTTTCAATACATTATTCAATAACTGTTAGCAAACGACCTCAACTTTCAATATTAAATTAAACAGGAATGAATGGATGATTTGATTATGTAAATCAATGAATGTATGATTTGAAATATTTGCATCTAATCAACTTTTTGTGTTTTAACATCTGTGTGCGCCTTTTGTCATGTAAATTTCGAATTTACCGAGTGGCAGTAAATACAAAATTTACAACATGACATTTTTGAAGCTTTTGAAACTTTTAGTAAAGATTATCCTTGAAGAATTAAAAAGAACAAAACATATTTGCCAATCTAAAATGTATTAGAACTACATGTTCTTTCAATATTAACCTGAAAACAGGAAGTTTCCGCTACTCCAGGGAGACAACTAATGCAGGCCCACTGAGTCCGTTTTCGGCGTCCATGTTTGGTAAAAATGGCGGCTTTGGTTTTCCTGGTTTTCCAAGCTTCAGTGGTAAATATTTTCTGAATGAAATATTGCGAAATTGGATTATTATTAAGAAGAATTTTATCACCTCATATATACTGAGAATTTTCTAGCAATAAATATCAAACAGTTTCTTCTACATTCAATGTTTCTCTAAATGTAACACATCAACATACTTTTGAGTTTGTACAAAAACTTAAACATCTTAAGGTCAGATGGGACCGATGAACCCTATGGCCGCCATGTTGGGTACAGGAAATTCAATGTCTGGCGCCGGGGGCTCCTTTCCTGGCATGGGAAATTCCCCTATGTCAGGGCAAATGGGATTCCCTGGAGGTATGTCCCCAATGGGAGGATTCATGGGACAAATGAACCCGATGTCAGGGGCGTCGCTAGGACTGGCCAATCAAAAAACGCCTGTTAGTAATCAGACGTCATGTGACCCCGCCCCTTATACATGTCCAGCCCCGCCCCCTTGGTGTCAGCGCATTGTTGATGCAGAGGGATGTACAAAATGTCTCTGTGGAAATGGTAATTATTATAAATATCGTATTTAAGAAATGTTTCTAGTTTATAATATAATAAATATCAAACTATTTAACCTTTTTATCATATCATTACAACTAATGCTATGCAAATAGCAGATAACTGAAAATACATGTAATCGTTTAAATATTTTAATTTTATCACACAGACCTTCAAGCTTATTTTGACAAACTTCAAGGGGTAACAAAAGATATCACAACAGCCACTCCTTCTTCAACTGCCAATCAAACAATTACAACTGTGACGTCACGTGTATCTCCCACAACCGCTTCAACTACAACCACGCCTACCTCAACAATAGCCCCGCCCCTTGGGAAAGCGTGCTTAGCGAACTTTTTCTGTACGCTGGACTGCCGGACTGGATACCAAACCGATTCCACGGGATGTCCACTGTGTTCTTGTAATGGGGACGTTGGCATCGTTACGCAGGGTATACTTTTTTTAGGCTTTTGTCAATGTGTATTTTTTGAAGCAACAATTAACTGTTGATATTTTAAGTACCATATATAGGCATACAAACAATGTATTGCTATTATAAAATAAATACAATGTATTGAAAATAAATTTTATTTAGGTTCACCGATTCCGGATTCGTCTACGACCCAAGTGCCGTTGACTACATTACCCCTTTCTATTTCCGATACACCTGCAGGAATTAATGTAGTCTGTCCTGGAATATTCGACTGCATGAAACAATGTATGAATGGTTACCAAGTAGATGCACAGGGATGTCCACTTTGTCAATGTATTCAATAAAATTTTGAACAAAATTAAATGATATATTTATCTGGTCAATTTGCAGTGATTTTGAACGTAAGGACCATACAAAATTTTGGTTTCGTAGGAATGGGACTTAAAGGACAAAACCTGATCGCAAGTTCTGTAATATGCATTGTATGAGAAAAAGAAAATACTTGCTGTGACAAGCATCTCAACAACGCTTATCTTTATAAAGTAAACAATATTTAATACAATCATATATATCTACTCGATATATCACAGAGTCTAAAAAATTAATAAAATATATAATTTGGTCTTCTTTACCATGTTTTTCGTATCAAGTAATAGATCTCTTCCTTTCTACTAAATTTCATTGCATATTATTTCTTACACCAGATCATTACTTACGACTCACGGTGGATGTGACCAGTCGATAGGATGCTTACCCATGCATCTAAGATCCTAATCTAGATTTTTTGATAGATTGTGTCCTTTACCCTGTTATCGGGTTTAATATTTGTAAGAAGATTTTTTGAATTTTATCACTCTCTATCATCTTCACCTTTTCATTACAAAATTCATTCCAAAATCAAGCTATCCCAACAAGCCTTGCACACACAGAATACTATGCTAAACTTGTGTATGTACGACTATAGTATGTGCTTCAGTATTAATATATGCATAAAATATTCCAAACTCGGGCAAAAAGCAGTAGCATTGCTCCATCTAATACATTGTATTGGAAATCAAATTGTTGATAGTGCAAGCGATACCAAAATTCCAGCTGTCTCGGTCAAGGTCAGATGAGCCATTTTATGAATGAATTTTGTTCTCACGCTGACTGAATCACCAAAAAGGCATGCGGAACCTATCTGTGATTTACCTCGGAGTACTATTTCTGCATGTTACATTTCAGTACGGTAAGACAAATCACTAGCACTTTAAATATTGCAATAAAATCTGAGAAAAAATCTGCAAAATTGCAATTCTACATGCAGGCGGTGTTTAAACGAATATTGCTGAAATAGGTATTCTTTAACTAAAATATAGGGGATTTGTGAATACATGCAGCAAATACAATAAATCAAGATAGCCAAATCCCACACATCATCACTGGCTACACTTCGGGGTTCAATCTGTGTGAGCCCTCTTTGTCGAGGACCCCTTACCAATTTCATTGGGATTTTAAAGGTTGACTTAAAAACAAGAACAAGTGCTTGATTTTTAAAATGACAATCTATAAGGATGGTACATAAATAATATTAACACAACGTGTAACAAAAGAAAAAGCCTCTTTTAAAGTACAGCATTGCCACAAAATCGACCATCTCCCAATCCCTACCAGACAATAACATCCAAAAGATACAATTTTGATCTTTCCTAAATACCGAATTTCTCCCTAGCAGATGAAGGATAAGTAGTTTCTCCATACAGTGTAATGTCATTGCGTTCACAGCACTAGTCGTCCCCCTGTCTTATCTTAGGTCTTTTGGTACTCATTGAAATCTGACAAGAGACCTAAGGGATACTCTCTAGTCATTATTTTGAAATGAAGAATTAAATTCTTATCTAGGCTTTTTTATTACTTTTATTTAATTTAAATTTTACAACGAAGAACAAAGCGCAGATGCATGATTCACATTTTTTACTTTTTGTCATGGTGCATTTGGAAGAAAGTTAGAAGTATTCATTAACACAAATTCGTCCTCTTGTGACTAATTCTAGGTACACCGTTGTGAAAGTAGAAGTGAATTGGTCTTTCAAAGTGTTGGATTTTTCCACTCGCTTTCATACATTCACAATTTTGAGAAAACTGAGAAAATTCTGGCTTCATGGATAAATCTGTTATTTTGTGGTTGTGCATGTTGTTGATTTCAGGCGGAAGTGATGGATTTTTAATGTGTTCTCTGACGTCATATATGCCAATGTTTTGTTCACTACAATGTCCCAATGGGTATGCCAAAGATAGTTCTGGGTGCACTACATGTAAATGCGCAACGCCCAACCAAGGTGAGTGAACCGTCAAATTTTAGAGGACCTAGCGTTTCTATTTATAGATTTACATAAACAATTATTAAACGCGAGGCTTTGTTCGTTAAAAATATTGCTGTTTTTTTAAATAAAAATCAATGATCGAATGCACATTGAATGGGTTACAATTTTAATATTTGTTTTAATATGAAATTGCCTTGCCTTTCACACATAAATGGTAAAAATACATAAATAATTTTTTTTTCCATTAGAAAATAAGTAAATAAAAATACCAATAATGTGATTATTAACTAAGTGGAAAAAAGTCTTAAATTAACAACTTTATCAATTGACACTAATATTATTTCTTGTACTTTTAGTACGCGTAAGATCATTATTATTTGATGCAATCTCAGCATTCATTTTAATCATCCGTATACACACTATTATGCACACATTCAAGAGAAATAAATTTAATTGTTCATTTTTTGGGCTATTTATTAAACAACTTTTTCAAACATATTAGGTCCATATTTATTTATTTGTTTACATTTGTCGTTTGAGATTCTTTTAATATGCCCAACTAAATAATAAAGTCGTTTTACCTTAATAATACCATTTCCATTCGACGATAAGTACATTTTTCTTTAAATATATTTTCTGATACAAATCCAGATACATGTTACATGTATTCACGTAATCAATGATATATTTATAAACTGTAAATGACACTACACACAAGATTTAAATGCCATCTTTAAGTGAAGGTGGTTATATATCAGTCTGAATCGAAAAGGGGGTATATTCAGTTTGTTTGTTTGTGTGTTTGTTTGTTTTGTTTTTTTTATCACGGAATCAGAACCTTTTTTTTTTTAAACATAAAATGGCATTATCTAAGAAACTTCACCACAGGAAAGGGATGTCTAATAATTTCACATCATATTAAAATTTTTTTTTTAAAAAATGACTGAAATGAAAAGTTCAAAAATTGATTGTAGACACACGTAGCTATGGGCACTTTCTACATCTTAGCTACCCATGTTCTTGTTTCAGTGTTTCTTTTTTCCTTGTTGTTTTCTTGTAATGTCCGCCCTCACCTGGCGAGGATGGGCAGAAAAATGATATCAGCTGGTCAGTTACTATTGACCTCATTCTTCTATCAATAATCACTCTACATTTAGAATCAAGGCCACACTTATATATATATATATACTTAGATATTTATAGAAATGCAATGTCCTTGGTGTAATTTTAGTATAGTTTTAGTATTTAGGTGACCCATTTGCAAAGCTAGATGCTACATAAAATTAAATTCCAAAAGGCATACAAAACCTGTACATTTTAAAGAAAAATAAGAATAATAAAATCAAATTTTCTAAAAGATTTGCAATTCGCATAAATTATTTATCTTGCATGTAAGCATTATTTTTTTCTCTCTTGCATATTGACCTAATTTACCTTGCATATAGAAAAATGTAACCTGCGAAAATAATGATGTCATAAAATTTCAATGTATGCACACATTTTCTTTCACGATAATTGCTGCCTGCTATAACAAAAAAAAATATTGTAGCTCTGAAGTAAAACGCATATTAACAAAAAGTTTATTTTTGGTTTAGATTCTGCCGCAATGACCCAATCCCAGAGTTCCCAAGCAAATTCCCAAAGTATTTCCGGTTCTCATGCAAATCCTCAAAGTATTTCCGGCTACGCACATCCGTGTTTACCTCATCAACAGTTCTGTCCCCTGAATTGCCCAGAAGGATTCGTGACCGGAAATGGAGGCTGCCAATTCTGTATATGTTATCAAAGCAACATAACTGGTACAAAACTTAGACTTACAGTGTAATTGTTAAATTTATACGACAGTGTTTCTTGATAGAACGGGAAATTATTATACCGTTGAAAGAAAGATAGTAAATCAGATATAAAGTTTTTTTTCAAAATAGATTCCTAGTAATAAATGATTTTTTTTGAAACGAAGAATTCATTCTATATTTTATTTTGCCACGTTATGAATACATAGAACACATAATCATGTAGTATTAGTGTCAATATCGTTATTTTCATTTTTTTAAGAGAAAAAGAAACATTACAAGCATTTTTTCTCCTAATTTGTCAAGAAGCTCGTGAGGTTCCATTAATGGCAAGTAATAATTGTCATTTTTTTTTTCAAAATTTATTTGGATTTCAGATTCAGTGACAACACAACCACCCGTAACTACCACCCTCAGCCACATTAAAGTCCACATGAGTAACCCCTGTATCCGAAATCAGACTATTTGTGACAAGTACTGCGCGGAAGGATATCTGCTAGGACCGGATGACTGCCAATACTGTCTGTGTAGGAATCTCATCCCCGGAATCGTATACACTAAAGGCATACAACCCACATTCTGACTCCAGGATTTCTAATGACTGTTTTATCGCAGTTAACTATTTGTTGTCAGCTTTTTTTCTCTAAATCGGCACTATTCTATTATTTCTGTAGTTTTTAGAATAAGAATTTATCCAGAAGGGTTTTTTTTCAATTATAAACATACAAATAACTCCATACAGACAGGTAAACAGTGTAGTTTTGATTGTTTAAAGCATGAATGTTTGATTTTAGCGCCAACTACAACACCGTCCTCAGAAACGACAACTCTGGCATACTACCTACCTAATCCTTGTCAGTCAGGGCAACATGTGTGTACAGCCCACTGTGAGTACGGATACATCCTAGGCCCGGGGAATTGTCAGTACTGCATGTGTGGCGCCAAAACCACTCCCGTCACAAAAGCCATACCAGGTAAATAAAAACGATGACTGCTTTAAAAGGTTGCAAATACAATGTGTAACCAACGTAAAATTTATTGCATCCTTATTCTTTTGTGGGGCCCTAAAGCTAAATAATACAATTCATTATGAAGAATAATAAGTACAGATTGTAAAATTAAGTGACGGTATTTGTTCAAACCTTCTGTGCAGCGGTTAGCTTTTCTCTTTACTGCTTTAGGTGTAAACCCAGCAGGAAGTGATATAGCGCCAGCTACAACCCCATTTCCTTCCGGTCACATGGATAACGAATGCGCCATTGCGTTTACAATTTGTCAAATAAAATGTAAACACGGATTTCTGGCCGATACCGTGGACTGCAGACGCTGTGTGTGCAAGGATGCCATATACAAAGCCGGTTAGTGTATGTATTGAATGATTTATCTTTGTTTTGTTTTAAATAAAAACATAAGCCTATATGTAAATACTTGTCAAAAGAACATCCAGGATAATATTGAATTTCAATAGATTTAATCAAAAGTTACGGTATTCAGACATCTTAAAATAATTTCATTTTTAATTTACTGATGTAAAATTTAAACTCGTGCCATTAGTAAACTAATTATAAAAATATGTAAGATAAAACTAATGATATTAAAACAAATTATATCTCCGTTGCGGTATCATCAACAATTATCTGTTTGTCATTTTAGCGGGAATTAACGAGGCGGACGAACCCGATATTAAGCTTCTGAACCCATGTGTTCAAGGACTGGACGTCTGTAACGTCTTCTGTTACCATGGCTACCTACGTGGACCACGTGATTGTCAGTACTGCGCGTGTCAGTTTGTAAAAAACGTATAATAAACTTAGGATAAAGTTTGTTTTGTTGTTTAATATAATTTCGTATTTAAGTTGTGGCTTGGTAAAATTTTAATTGAATGATTAAATTTTCTTTTTGGAAATCGCCAATAAATTAAATTTGTATGACATGCGCAAACAGCGGGCAGTTATTGTACTACATGTAACACCGCCAATGAAATTGGTAAGATGATTTAAAAATACATGTAATGTGCATATATATTAAGCAAAAGGATTCAAAGAGTATTGAGAAAGACAATACGTGTGTTAAACAGGTGCTAGATGAATGAGTACATTATCAATCGCTAAAATCACGAGAGTCGGAATTTCTTTATTCATAAAAAATTATTTGGAAAATATTATTATACAGTGTATCTTCAATTGAAAAAAATATATACTAGTATTAAAGGTGCATGGACACAGCTTCAACTGATTTTTAAAAACCAATTTTAATGTTTACAATTCCTAACTAGTGCATTATATGATGATCAGCAAAACTTTTGTCATTTGTTGATGAAAACGAGATACAGAACTTAAAGGGGCAATGACACAGTTTTAACTGAATTTTTAAACCGATTTTAATGCTTACTATACCTAATTAAGACATCATCAAATGATCAGCAAAAATTTGAACATCATTTATTGATAAACAAACAAGATACAGAACTTAAAGTTCTTCAAAATGTAAAGGGCTCGTGCCTTGTTTTTGTTTACATATAGAAATATTTTATTTATAGCAAAATGAAATTTAGCAAATCACTAGAAACTGTCTATATGTAATAAGAATTAACTTCTTTATTGGAACTATCTGCTTTGAATGAACATTTATTAGTATATTAATCTATGTAAACGAAACATGACACGGACCTTGTTTACATAACAAAGTTTTGGAGCTCTAAATCTGTCTTGTATGTCAACAACTGAAGTTCAAATTTTCGAAAATCATTAGAAAGACCTTAGTTAAATATTTATAAAAATGTGAAAATAAATCATTTTTTTTTTAGCTCAAACTGTGTCTATGCCCCTTTAAAGTTCTTCATAATGTAAACAAGGCTCGTGTCTTGTTTATGTTTACAATATAGAAAATATCATATTTAGATCTATAACAAAATGAAATTCATCACTAGAAACTGTCTAATTATATTTAGAATTTACTTTTAATTGAAATTATCTGCTTTGGACGTACATATATTAGTTATATTAACATATGTAAACAAAAAACATAACACAGAAGATGTTTACATGACAAAGGTTTGGAGCTCTAAATCAATCTTGTATCTCGACAACTGAAGTTTACATTTTTGATGATCATTAGAAAAACCTTTGTTAAGATATGTCACTCGTCAGCTTTTTGGAAAAGTTCACGCAGAACCTCTTACTTCAAAACCATTAATTAAAATGCAATTTTAATGACAAATTTTAATTCAACAATGTTAATGTTTTACCATTCAACGAAAAAACTACCTAAAAAGTTTCTAAGAAGCAAGATTTATGAGGGACTATTTCTTGTGGTGGAAGGATATTTAGCAGATAATTCTGGAAATCTGCACATTTATTAAATTGAATATCCTGGAACTTTAGCCTCGCATACTTCTACTCGGATAATATTTTCCGTTATATTGCATTTATTAAATTAAAATTTACATATTTTTCTGAAAATTACATATTTTGACCAATGTTTCAAAATTAACATCACTGACCCAAAATTTTTGTCCCCCGCTTGAAAAGTGGGGGATTTAGCTTTCTGTCTGTCTGTAACTTTTATCTCGAGAACCCTTTGAGCTTTTGCAATGAAATTTTAGCAACTCCCCTAAAGAGGACCCCTATTGATTTTGAGGTCAAAAGGTCAAAACTCAAGGTCATAAATAAGCAAATTCTGTCTGTTAAAACACTTTCGTTTCCACACGATATCTCTAGAACCATTTGAGCTATTGCAATGAAATTTTATATAACAACTCCCTGTGGCCTAATAAAGACCCCTATTGATTTTGAGGTCAAAATCAAAGTTAGGTCGTAAATTTATAATTCTGTCTGTGTGTTTATATTTTTTTAGAGCTTATGCAATGTAATTTATATCAAAACTCCCTAGGACGTCTCTCGCCCCTCTCAAAGTGCCCCGCCCCGTTTGTTTTTATAGTATTAATTACATGTCGCTATTTTTGCAGGGGCAAAAAATGAAGATAGAACTGTTTAATCAAATAAATCAAGGAATATATAAAATTTACATCATTTCTCTCGCCTCAGATGTGAGAAAATTCGGTCGAACCTTTCTTTTTTTTCTTTTCTTTTTTTTTCATATTTTGACCATGTGAAATGAAAAAATGTTTCAAAATATAAAAACATACTGACCTATGCAAACTTTTTCTTACATGTAAACATTCTTTAAAAAGTACTCGAATTCTCTGAATTAGCTTGTTTTAAAAGAACTCGATACTTGTGACTGATCAGCACTTAAGTCGTAAAAAGCTTGATTTAAGAACATGTTTTATTGTCTATTTAGTTTTTAATACCCCAAATATGTTACTTTTTGGTGCAAAAAGGTCACAAAGTAATTTACGCGCACGGATTTGCAAGTTTTGTTCAATGATAAATATTATTCAAACTATTTTACGTAAAATAATATTGTATTTATTGCCATAGTTATATCTGATAAAATATTATAAAGGTTAAAGTAATTTACCAAAGAGTTTAAATTTAAGTGCAAAAAGGTCAACCTAATTGTACCGTAGATCAGGAAGATGCACACTCACCCCCTATTTTTTCTGCGATTTTGAGTTACACTGTATGAGTACTTATCTAAAATATACTTCTTTAAAAAATCCTTGATTTAACAAAGTTCACGAGTGACATATCTTAAATATTGTAAAAATGGAAAATTAAATTTGAAAATTTTAAGCTAAAACTGTGTACATGTCCCTTTAAACTAATGAAACATTGTTTCCGAATAGTTATTTTTTCATAATAAAAACTTCAGACTTCTGTGTTTAAAAAATCTTGAAATGAAGTTGAAGAAAATATATATATGACCTTTAACGTAACATGTCCAACAGATCGGTCAACGGACCAGTTAATGTTATCAAATTCGTTATATCCGCTTTGAAATTTTCACCTGCATAATATCTCCCCCTTCCATATTTTATCAAACAAGCATGATTCTACAACCTTGGAAGCATGACATAAAAAGACGCGATGATTCCAATACTCCATCATTGACGCGATCTAGTGGAGAAAACCGGAGACATGAAGCTGTTGGAAGTACTTTGTTGCCTGCTAATAGGTAGGTGCTTATCAAAATGATAAATTGACTCGTTTGTGTTTTACATAAATGTGGATTCTCTAGGCCTCAGAGTCTTGCAAAATCACATGTATTTCTGACTTTTAGTCACAATTCTAGTGCCTTATAAAATAAATCTTTAAAAATTTAAATATTATCGTGATAGAAAAACAATTAGTTTCTTAATATCATAAACTGTGTGTCATGTATCGAAGTTTAAGTATATGGTTGCAGGCTTTTATGAGTTGCTTCTAATTTGCATTCTTTCGTTTATTCGTATGCCTTTGCATTCTGCTTCTTTCAGCTGATGCACACGGATTTCTTTACGACTCCTTTGGTTTCGGTGGTTGTCGACCAATCACATTCTTCTGTCACCTGTCATGCGCAAACGGTTATGAGAAAGATGGCGCTGGTTGCGATATCTGCCACTGCAAAGGAGTGGGTAAGAAGACAAAATAATCTCAGCTGCTAGTCATCAGATAGAAATTATGAGAGAGGCTTGTAAAATAAGAACACCCAAGGAGTTGGTATGAAATTAACTCAAATAACTTCAGCTGCTAAGCATAAGATAGGAATTATGAGAGAGATGCTTGTGAAATACGTACAAACAAGACTTTACTCTATATCAGAATTTAATACATAAAACTATTATAATACATTTGACAAATTGTCATTTCTATACGTTCAAAATATTAACAAATCTAAAAAAAAAATTCTAAGTTTGCGCATCTACAAATAAACCTTGTTAATCGTTAGACTCACATCTCCTGACGGCGGACGGAAGTCACCACCATATTAGCAATCCATGTATACCTCACCAGATGAATTGCCCTTTGAACTGTGAATATTACGTCAAAGGTGGAACCGGATGTGAATTTTGTATGTGCGACAATTCTCATCACAGTAAGTTTATTTTCTCGAAAATTGATGTCATTTTGTCGAATGTATCTAATCAGAAACATAAGTAAACGTAATGTATATTTTCAGTATATTTCACTGCGTCATGTCAGGCAGGCATGTAGATCAGTTTAGTACATCTTGTGTTAAAATTAACAAGGTCCTGAGTCCATTGAACTATATCTCCTTTCTGAAAACGAAAGATCATGCATGTGTAGTAAAATTATAAACTAAAGTTGAAGTTCCATTTTTTTTACAGACACGGTACAGCCATCAACCGACAAACCAACAACAACTGCTTCAGCTACATCAGCACCACAAACCCCAGCGCCGACAACTTCCGCTTCCGTTAATACTACTGGCGCCACCACCCATGATCCAATCGACTGCGAGCTTACAAAACAAGTCTGTGACCAAAAGTGTCATGGCGAATATCTCATTGATCACAAGGACTGCACGTTTTGTGTTTGTAAATCGGACCTAGGTTAGGTTTTTGAATTACTGTTTTAAGCTGTTCTCTATCTCCATAGCAACGTATGGTTAATTATCATTTCCTTTATCATGAAGGCATAGCCTCATAATTGGTGGTAAAATTATCGTTAAAACATTGTGGTGAAAGTTGATGAATGAAAGGAGGCATGGGAACAAATGGGTGTATTTTAAAAAGTGCTACATTTAATCAAGATTTTTTGTTTTTGTACATTTGTAAAAAATGATTGAAATAATGCTTTTATCAAATTACTGTGATCACTAGCGGGGAAAGATGACAAGGCAAGTTAAACTCCTTGTGTAATTTAATGTTGTGTTAAATGTTTTATTTGATTTAATAAAATATGGTTTAAAACTACAAATACAACATTGGATGTTACAATTTGTTTTTAAAAATTGAATAGGAATGCTTAAAGTCAGCAGGGAAAAATATATAGAAATAACACTAAATCTAATTAATAAGTATAAAAAGACCTTCATACTTCAAATGGTAATATTCTAATGTCTTTTAACAAAACATTAACAAGAGAACCATAAAAAATTTTTAGAACAGTCAATGAAATTTGCCTTCTTCGGAGTACAAAAACTACTTTTGAAGTGAAGAAAAACACAACTTTATCCGCATCTTTCTAAAACGTTCGTCGTCACCGATGTTTGTTTTGCTGCTGTGTAAATTCTACTATCGCGGTATCTTCCGTTGGAGTATATTTACCCCGGGGGTACTCCGCCTCGTTTTGAGATTTTTCCCACGATAAGGCTATATCCTCGAATGTTCTATTTTTAGTCTCTGGTAGATAAGCGTACACAAATATCCAGAAGAAGAGGAGAAGAACGGTAAACGGGAGGAAAGAGTAATTATCCAGTCCCTCCTGAAACAGAATCGAGAAGATGTAAAATTGCAATCCGGAAATCAACATTGGGCACTAATATATTCATCTTTCAACATTGGAAATACTTGTATTTTTATCAAATATTTCATAGATTTTATTTCAAGGAATAAGTACTGTTTTTGAACAAAACCTATAAAAAATACGCATTTAATATCCTATATATACAAAGTTATTCAAGCTGACCAAAATGGACGTCATAAAGTCAATGACCATGTAAATGATAGGTGAAACTTTTTTTTCATCTTACGGCTTTAAAAAGAAAATGTTGCTTCAAGTCTTTAAAACATGCACAATATTAAAAAAAGATTTTATTTACCTGCATGATGGGAAATACATATCCCACAGCAAAGTTGAAAGCCCAGTTGATAAGAACTGATATACTCATTGCGGAAACACGCGGTCCCTGCGTGAATAGTTCAGCTACTATCATCCAAGGAATGGATCCTTTAAAGAAGCATGTAATTAAAGTTAGGTTCGTCAACAGGGTATTATTTCCTATCTCTACAAATCAACCTTTGGTTTACTATACAATATTGGAAGGAGTGATTAATTGATTTCATTATACCTCTACTGATTTTTTTCCTATATAAACTTAGTTAAATATCAAGAATTACACAGAAATCGCTGTGAATGGACTACTCCCCGTGTGTTAGTCAAATGAGCTAATCCCTGCTTTAAAAGCTAATTTCCGGTTATCCGTAATACCCTAGAGTTTACTTTTGTATTCGTATAATATATAAATGAATTAATTCCCGTGCGTTGGTCAACTGAGCTAATCCCTGTTCCGAGAGCTATTTCCCAGATATTCGTTATCCTCTATTTTTCATACGTTTGTATCAGTATAATAAAACAGTTAAAAAATAAATCAGTGAGGGAATTAGCAATATTCTAGATCCCCGCGACAAGGACTATTTCCCTGAGCTGCGATTCAGATTCGGGAAATAGTCCTAGCCTATGGCAACTGGAATCTTGCTAAATCCCTCAATTATATACTCTAAGGCCTAACTGTATAATACCTGGTCCAATGGCGAAGAAGACAACATAGAGGAGAGACACGACCACATTCGCCGTGTCAAACCACGGCACCTCGTCCTGTAAAAATAGCAAAGGAACAAAACATTATGAACATTCGTTCACTTCTTTTCTGATGGGCAGAAAGGTTTCAGGTAAATAACGCAGCAAATTTCCTCAAGAAGATTGTATCAGCTACAGTAAAATTTATTTTACATACTTACATGTATAAATAATTCCGATTTAAAAATATATTTTGATACCGACATGAAATAAGTGACCACTAACATGAAACGGTACTTTTGACAATTAATTAATAAAGATATTTACGTTGTGTCTGTCTCTCTGATTTAACAAGAAAAGAAAACAAAATGTAGATTTTTCAATTGATTCTTATGAGTGCAAGTATTTTTAACTGGACTTCTCAGCTGATTGTAAACTTCCATGCTTATATCATAATTATACTTAAAACGCAAACCAGAGAAATGAATTGAAACTTAAACATTTCTACATCGAAAAAAAGAAGTCAAGTCTTCTTACCGTCAGGGACAGTGTAATGGTGATCAGAATGCTGAAGATGAACATCCCCGCTAATCCGGTCAGATGTAAGCTCCGCCTCCCGATCCTGTCCATCAACGGAATGGTGATGAGCGTCATGACAACCATGATGGCGCCGATTCCGCTTGTTGCGTGCGCAGCAAGGTCATCGGAAATACCGGCGCTGGTAAATAATCTGAATGAATAGTAAAATATCTGGAAAAAGAGGAAAATTCAACCGTTATTCAACAAGAAATATCAGTAAAAGGCTTAAGGGTAAAAAAACAAGGTGTCTTAAAATGGCCATATTCCTTGAACATTGAGAAAAAAAATAAATACTATAAAAAGAAAACGAAGAAATTTTATAATCAAAATGGAGTTGTTCTAAAAGGTAATGGTACGTTGTATTTCACGTCCATTCGTAGATTTTTGATGCTTGTGGACCTCGCAGGTTGATGACGTTATTGTTGTTTATCTTTTCACTAATTTTGAGAAGCCACAACTTCCATGTTGAGCATGTTGAGGGCTGCAAATTTAAATCCATTCTCGAGACTTAAAGCCTTTCAGCAGCGTGGGACCTTTTTAATGCCAGCATCTACTTCAAAACGGGACCTCGACTTATACAGTCATATCCAAAGGACCAGTCCGACTTTATGCAATTAGATTCGAAGTGGTCAACCTCTCGCTTGGCGAATTTCGAGAAAATGTTCTATCCACTGGACCAAGCGGGAAATTTCCAGAGAAATGTATACTTTTGCGTTTAGTATTCATCATGAAAAACAGTTATCAATTGTTTTAGCTGTTTTAAATGTTTACTTGAGAACAATCAGCATTCAGTTGTGTTCAATACATTAAACATGTAACAATTCACTTTCGATTCTATTGGAGAAAACGCAATAGGGACAGTCTGACAGCTTACAAAAACGTATTTTCAGGAAATCTTGCAAATTCTCATTTGATAATCCTGAAATTCTTACTGAATACTGACATATTATTCTCAGTGGTTTGGTTTATTTAATTTTGATTTCAAAATTCTTTATTTGAAGATAAATTAAAAATGTCACGGGACTTCAGTTTGACTTACTGCGTTGATTCCTGACAACTGCTGTGACAAATGCATGACAATGCTGATGATAAGGGGCATGCGCAATGACTTCTTCTTCAACAGGCGAAGTATTCCAATCTACAAGAAAGCATATCACATTGTTTGACTTGCCTATTTAAGTGCTGTTTTCTCGCTGCATAATATCACGTGACTAACAATATCACGTGACTACTGACCTTGTTTTCAGACTGCTCGGCTTGATGTTCTTGTCTCATTTCATCGAGATCTCCATCTACTCCTGGAGTGCCTCGGAGTTTTACCAAAGCTGGAGAAAGAAGAAGAAAATTTAAAGTTGGAGATAGAAGAACAAAATTAAAAGTTTTTGCGCCAAAACTACACATCAGCGTTTCACGTTATTAGAATATTTAAAATTCAAACTTTTATGCTATGGTTCAGATTAACTAGTTTTTCTTGAATGATACTATTTGCAGACTGCTTACCGTTCAATGCATCGTTCTCCTTTTCTTTGGTTATCAATAAATACCGAGGACTTTCCGGACAGAACGGCATAGTCAGGAGCTGTATGGCTGACGGCGCAACACACAGACCTACAGAAAAAGTCAAATACAAGGCTTTCAAAAACGTTTGTAGTTGACTTCGATATTTGAATTTTATTTTTCATTTCGTCGACATAATGAATGTTCCTTCATGAAACATACCCAAGAGCACGTGCCAGTATTCCCCGTTACCGAAGATTTCCGGAAATCCCAGGATCTGAGATAGGAAGATCCCGACGGTAACTCCAAACTGGTGGAGAGTTCCGAGTGCTCCCCTGATGTTAGCTGTAGCGATCTCCGTCAGGTAGAGTGGAGTCAGGCCAGTGTACAGACCTAAATATTGTAAATTTACTGCACTTGTGGGAAATTACATGAAAAAAACGGAAAAAGAGAAATTTAAGAATTAATCTTTATTTGTTGTTTTTACCGTATATAAAACAATTTGTATTTTAACCTAATATTTATTACAAAAAAAATTAATATCAAAAATTTTGTTTTTAAAGCGTTGATTTTTGCATGAATTTTGGCAACCAAGGCCTCTAAATAAAAGATATTTTGATATTGATGTAGCCAATAAAGATAAGATTTTTTTCGCCCCACACATCCAATAAGAAATCTGATTTTTAATTGCTTTAAATTTACCACAGTTAAATCCAATCAGCAGTTGATATAGCTGACTTTTATACCGATACTCTCTAAAGTCGATGATCATACAAAACTTATAAAGTTTTTAATTTCGCCTTTTCAAAGACTGTTTTAATTTTTTTTTATAGAAGTGCCTCCATGGCAGCGAAAGCGATGAATGTATATATTCCTTAGAATTTAATCACATTTATTTTGGCTACATATTTCAGTAAAACTTCCTTGGATTTCAAATACATGCACACATTATCAAGTTTTTACTATATCCACGGATAAATAGCCTAGACATAAAGAATCGAATTTCAGAGAAGTAGACATTACCTTTATGCACAAAGAGAAGTAAAGACAAATATCAATTATTACATTTGTGTAACAACCTCAGAAAATCAATTAATAGATTATAAACTTGAAATAAAATTTTAGGAAAAACAAATTGTTATATGTATTCAGCCTAATGTCATTAATCAGAACGGAAATCGACAGCTTTTTGTTTGAATAAAAAAGTCCTATTCCCATTTTCAAAAATTTCTTCAAAATCGTAATCAGACTAGCATGACTATGGACTTACACGTTACAATGGCTAACAAAATAGTGATCAACTTACACGCTGCATTAAAAATTTTAAAAGAAGTCTAAATTTGCAATTTTTTTTAAAAAACGATTTTATTCTCCGAGGAAAGCTATACGAATTAGCCAGGCACGTAGCATCGTCTTTAAAAGTGGGGGGGGGGCCTTCCAAAGAAATCATGTTTTTTCCAACCCGCCAAAAGTTGACAAGCAAAGAAAAACCTTGCCCAAAGCAAAAGCTACTTATTTCAGTACCAGATTCCTGAGCATACATTTCCCTTATATAACTTAACCGTGTTAAACTGTGTGTGTGTTTGGGAATAAACTCTTTGATTTTTCTGAAAAAGTAAAACAAAAATAACACAGAATAATAAATTTATTTTTACAACTAATAAGTAAATTAGTATAAAGTTAAAAGATTCCTAAGGAGACAAACTAAAACACTTTTATTTAAAGGGAATTGCTACAAAATTATATGTATTTGTTTAATCTCATTTGATATAGGGTATTTAATCTATTTTGACAGTCATTTTTTCATTTAGAATTCCTTCAAAGTTTTAATTGTACACAGTGAATAAATTATTTTGAATAAAGAATCGGAAACACGGTTCATTCAAATGAAATAAGCCTTTTTTCACAAAATGTTCCTCGTTAAAACCTTTTACAAGAGGGCGTTAATGATCCCGGAAGACGAACTACTGCTGTATATGCAGCAATTTCAGGGGGTAAACTGTAGATGGACATGTCATCAGTCTCCAAAAAATTCCTAGGCCAGAGAAGAAAATATGGCTGCCGTGATTTTTCGAAAAAAACGCAAAAACTTATATCTTTTGCACATTTTGTAAATAAATTTGGAAAACGCTTTTAAGTTTTAACAAGATACTTTCGAAAATCAGCAAAGTTATTTGACTTTTTTTTCTTCTTTTTTTTGAAAAAATGTCACAATTAATGCATACAGATTAATACAAATCCAGAAAGAGACTATGAGTGGGCAATTTAAAAAAAATGAATCAGTTAAGATTTCTTTTTATTCACAAACACAATAACATTTTTCTGACAGAGGCATTACACCATGAACATGTTTACACCAAGCTGTAGAGAGTGACTTTATTTGTAGCGGTCATGAATACAGTGTCATGGAATTAGATAAAATTATTTTTTAAAACAAGTATGACAACATTGTAACATTGTTCATGAGTCAAGCGAATTTATATTTATAAGACAATCCTGGAGGTTTGTCACCATATTAGCATTAGAATTTTTTGTTTGTTTGTTGCTCTATCAAATTGGGAGAATTTCATATGAAGGATATTTAATATTAAAAAAAAAAATCAATATTTTTTTCAATATCTTCCTGAAAGCATTCGAAATTAATCAAACGTCTTCAATGATGTAGCCAATCAAGGAATTCTAGGGTAAATTTCATCCAATTAGAAATTCATTCTTACCACAATTAAATCCAATCAGTAGCCTCGCTACAATGATCATCTCATAGGAATGGGCCTCTCTGCTGAAGAAGAAAAGGCCTCCAGCGGCGAAAGCGAATGCGTTATTCAGTAACATTCCAAATTTCCTGAAATAAATACAAATTATCAATTTTCTAAGGTAAAAAAGATATTTATTTAGAAAATGTTCAATATTTACAACTCTCATTGATAGATTTTTTAAAAATTTGACATTAAATTTTAAAAACGGGGGTTTTGAGGCTCGTTTTTGTGTTTGTTCAAATTCCCTTCAAGAAATTTTTCTCGTAATCAGAGATTATGGACTTGAGTTGGATGGCCCTAGGTGCCCGAGTATAGGTCTTAATTTGCAGTCCTACGCAGACAAGTGGTGGCCTCTCCAGATGAGTAAAAAAAATTCTCCAAGAGGCATTAAACAAGCCAACAAATTACGAACCTTCCAAAGAAGTCGGCCCACCATCCCGCCATCAGGCCGCCTAGCATCCCGCCCACAGCAAAGATTTTAGTGCTAAATGTATTTTCGGCGTGTTAAACGCTGGCTTATTCATAAACTCTTTGATTTTCTGTAGTTCATAAAAACACAGAACAATATATTTTTTTTACAACCAATAAGTAAATTATAATAAAATTAAAAGATTTCTAATGAGGCAAACTAAAACACTTTTATTTAAAGGGAAATGCTACAAAATTATATGTATTCATTTAATCTTATTTGAAATAGAGTACTTAATCTATTTTGACATTCATTATGTCTTTACTTTATTTTGCTTTAATTGTAGACCGTTACATGTAATAATCGGCCCTGTTTTCCAATATTTCCTCGTTACCTTTTCAGGGGCGTTAATGACCCCCGTGTTGTATCCGAACTGAAGTCATGACTGTGTATATACGGAGAGATAGGCCGTGACACAAGAACGCAAAGAACATACTTTTTCTTAAATTTGGAAAACGCTTTTAAGTTGTAACAAGATACTTTTGAAAATCAAACTTGACTGAAAAAAATGTCACAAAAAATGCATCACCGAGCAGAAGTCAGAAAACTTGCATTTGAGTTAGAAAGAACAATGCTTTCGTACGGTTGAAAACTGTAGAGATTTTGCCTTTAAACAGAAACAATCCAAGTTTGAAAGTAAATTTTACATGTATTTGTATACCTAAACGTTCCTACATTGTTCCTACATTGACTTTAAATGATTTTTTTAAAAAATTAGAAAAAAAAACATGAGAACCAAAAAAAAAAAAATGCAAACAAACAAAAAAAAAACAAAAACGAAAAGAAACAGCCCATTTGGGAAAATGTTATAAATGAAAGAAAAACTCACTCCACGAATAGGTGGCGCCTCATCTGGAGACAAATGGTCACGTGATCCCTTTTGTGAGGCAGACATTTTGGATTATAGAAACAGAGCTAAATATGAAATCTCCTCAATCGTTTTCATAGGACAAAGTCATGTCGGAATTTGGTCTGTTTCACAAAGCCCCAAAACGTATGAGGTATAGATGATATAGCACCGAAAATTCTTAGTAAGAAAGTCTTGATTCTTTCTCAAACTCTAAAAAGCAAAGAAAGAACTATATGCGGTATTAACCAACATTTGCCCCCCAAAATCAAATTCAAATTTAAAATGGTATATGCTGACTTCAAAGCACTGAATAATTTCATAAGTAATGACGTCATATGTACAATCACAAATTTAATTTGTTTTTTATGAATTTTGCAGAAAAATGTACATATTTCACGATATTTTTAAAATCCCATGTGTGCAGGATTAATATTTTGATATAATGTGTAGAATGATAATATCAATGAAATATGTCAATATTGAACACACAGGTAATTTTGCTTAAATTGTTGAAATATCTCTGAAAAAGGATATAAAAATTTTGGAAAAAAAATTGTGAATACACTGCTCTGGAACTATAATATTTTCTTTTAACTTATATTTCTCGTACAATTTATTGAATTCAGCACATTTCAGGAAGTTTTCAAAATTTGACTTTTGTGGGGGCAAACATATGCAATATACCGCATATAGTTCTTTAAATTTAAAATGGTAAGTACATGGTCAGTCAATCACTTTAATTTGCTATTCTGTCGGAACTATCACTTATTTCATCCCTGCAAGAAAAAGGGGGATTCAAGGTAATTTTGCAATAATATCTCAATTGTGGAAAAAATATTTTACAGTTGTTCTCAGTCATTTAAAAAAACGTACGAAGAGATTATTGCTCCCTTACAAAATACCCTAAATTGCTTCAAAAGGGATTTAGTTACACAATTTTCTTTACATTGGATTACTAGTATTAAAGTATTTGGCAGTGGATCCGTTGTTCTCTATATTTATACATGTACCTGTGAGTTTAATAAACCTGATTTTTTAAAAAGATAATATTACCACTAGAATATGAACGAGGATCGGAATTTGGGACAAATTTCAAGAGGGAGAATAAATTAACTTCAAGACGTACACCTAATCATGACAGCTAAAGAGATCTATATCCTCAGACAATTTAAATATTTATAGATGATTTTATTAAGATCACACAAATGCATACAATATCGGGCCTAGGGTTTATGTGAAGAATAATATGAATTTTTGTATACAGTATTCTAATATATAACCATTACATATTTACATTCACTGAGTATTTCATTACCCCCATGAAAAAAGGTCCTTAAGGCAATTTTTACACATTTCAAGTTTTTCATGGATTCTATTATAGCAAGGTTCGAAGTTATCGAATATGAATTTTTGTGGCCCTATACGTCAACTCTAAGTATGTTTTTTCTTCATTTATATCGCTGATACTTTGACAGGTGAATAATGACGTCGTGCTACTTTCGCGCCAACGTCAAACGTCGAAAGTTTTCAAAATTCATATGAACGCGATTCTGACTTTTCATTGTAACGTTACTATGATAATGAATGTATATTACTGAGTATTTCCAGATTTTTTGTTTACTTGATAAATTTTCTATTTTAATAATTGTATCATACCAATTATAATTTACTAGTAATAGTAATTTCTTATGAAGACCATTGCCGTTAATCAGTCCATGAAAGACATAAAGCTAGCCACGTGCATGAATTTCTTGAACAATGGCTGTTCCATCAGTTTAGCTTATGCATGCAATGACATATACGTCTATAATGCAATATTTTAAAACATATTTAGGTTTACCTTTTAATGTTTTTTTTTTCCATACAGATGTAATTATAAAAATATCTTTGTCTGTTTGTTAGTTTAGTTGCAGCAACTGCAAAAAAAATTACATTTTTTTCTGCACTAGCTGCATGCGACATGAATTCCCATACTTTTATAATTTAAATTTATAAACATGCAGTTGAGGTAATGGGGAGGTAATTTTGTGGATCCTCCACTGTTTATTTGAAATGATAAATGAATGACAACAATGAACTTAGGATGACATTCGACCATGTTTATGTTGATGAAATGTGCCCTTGGGGAAAGATCCGTTTGTTTGACAAATGTCAGCGAGAGTTTATACTTTATTTCACAAAATTACAGTCAGGTAGGAAATTTCAAAGAATTTTAGTATCTGGCCCCCAGCATGCCCAGGGTTAAGATTGTTGAATCCATGGAGTACTCCTCGCTGTTTGCCCCCTCCCCCCCCGGGCCTTCCATCCCTCCCCCTTTTTTAGAATTACACGTAGACATTATTTTATATCAAGTGAAAATAAACAGAAAAAAAACATACATGGCTGGTCCTAAATAAATAAAAAAATAAAAAAAATAAAATGTGTCATTAAAAAAAGATCATCGTGATGGTATCCGTTTCCTTTACAATTTATAGGATTACAGCACATACAGGACATAAATATCAAGTACAAGGTCCACGTGTGAACATTATACAACAAAAATTCCTTACAACAAATGATAAGTTCGTACAGACTTTCTATTGTGTATGTTAAATATCTATTATCTGACTTGCACATCCCTGGGATGCATTACACAAAATAAACATGGTGCAATTTAATTATTTAATACAAATGTGTAAAACAATTCATGATAAATGAAAAACTTACCATATGTGATGAGCTACCGGCAGACTGGCCTTCACTTTGGGGGCTCTCGTGTAAGTGTGGACAAAGCTCTCGTGCTGTAAAGACATAGGTAAACAAAATATCAATGTTGTCAGTGATTGAATTGGGGAAGAGATAAAGAGAATGATCACAGGAATTTGAAATTCTATTTTAT